ATCGGGAAATACGGTGCATGCTGTACAAACGGGGCTTTCACATGGAGGACTCCTAAAGGCAGGGGTGGTAGAAAGAAAAAAAAATCCAAGAAATGGAAATGCACAAGAAACCAAAAGAGCAAACTAAAACTGAAGTTTACATTCTTTTTGGAACAGATTCTGGGACAGAAAGAATGTAAGTTAAAGTTTAACTAAAACAAGAAGAGGCACTGGGGTCAATGAAGTTTTAAAAGGCAACACTGAGGAACTCGGCTTTCTTCCAGAGTGGATCAGGAGCCACTCAGCACACGCACAGTGGTCAAGAACACAGACTTTCAAGAAAACATGACTGGGATTCAAATACCAGCTCTTCTGCCTACAAACTCCTTTAAGATCATGAAGTTCCGATTTCTTTACCTGTAGAATGGGGATAATATAAGTTATAAGGACCACATGAGAACAAAGGATTCAGCACATTATTGACATAAAAACACCTAAGTGCTTACTTAAGGTTTGTTTTGTTTTGTTTGCTTGTCATCAGGCAGCAAACATAATCAGGACTACATTTAGGACAATTAGTAGGCAGTACTCACAATGAATGGCAAACCAAGAGGTGAATGTCTCTTGCTGTGTATATGGCTGCTGGAAGAAAAAAAAAAAAATAGGAGAAATCAGGAAAAAAAAAAAAAAAAAAAAAAAAAAAAATCTAAGAAAAAGAGAGAGAGAAGAACCAAGAATGACCTTTTGATTTTGAGTCTAGATGATTCTGATGATGCTAAGGTTATGAATATAAACAAGGAAGAAGAATCAGGCTTGCAAAAAAAGGTTAATTCTGAATCAAATGATTCAGAATTACAAAATGACAGCTACTAAATTGATCAGGCAGAACAACAATGGCAAATCTGAAGATTAGGAATGAAAATAAGGCTTATGATACAGAATTGGGAGCCTCAGCAAAGGGGTTGTGGGGAATGAGCATTTGAAACCATGGATCTATGTGGGATTATCCAAGGAGAGAACAAACTAAAAATAACTGAACCTAAAGTAACACCTAAAGGCAACACCTAACTATCCTTAAAGGAAGTGAGAGAAAAAAAGTGAACAAAGGCCCTAAGAAGGGTGAGTTGGAGGTGCCAGTTTGTGAAAGTCACCAAGACAGACCTTCGCAGCATTTCACATTCCACAGCTCTTTCAATGCTCACTATAGCTTTAGATTATAAACCTGATTTCGTCAATTAATATGATTATCATAAAAGGTTTTTTTTTTTTTGAGACAGAGTTTCGCTCTTGTTGCCCAGGCTGGAGTGCAATGGCACGATCTCAGCTCACTGCAACCTCCGCCTCCTGGGTTCAGGCAATTCTCCGGCCTCAGCCTCCTGAGTAGCTGGGATTACAGGCATGTGCCACCATGCCCAGCTGATTTTTTGTATTTTTAGTAGAGACGGGTTTCACCATGTTGACCAGGATGGTCTCCATCTCTTGACCTCGTGATCCACCTGCCTCGGCCTCCCAAAGTGCTGG